ATTTACACAATGTTTATTCTTCCAGTACATGACCACGGAGTGTTTTTCCATCTCATTACAACTTCCTCAATTTCTTTCTGAAGTGTTGTGTAGTTTTTAGGGTATAGATTCTTTGCCTCTTTGGTTAGGTTTATTCCTAGGTATTTTATGGTTTTGGGTGCAATTGTAAATGAGTTGAATTCCTTAATTTCTCTTTCTTTAGTCTCATTGTTAGTTATAGAAATGCCACTGATTTCTGTGCATTGATTTTGTATCCTGCCACATTGCTGAATTGCTGTATGAGTTCTGGCAATCTTGGGGTGGAGTCTTTTGGGTTTTCTATATACAGTATCATGTCATCTGCAAAGAGGGAGAGTTTGACTTTTTCTTTGCCAATTTGAATGCTTTTTATTTCTTTTTGTCGTCTGATTGCTGAGGCCAGGACTTCTAGTACTATGTTAAATAACAATAGTGAGAGTGGACATCCTCCCTGTGGAGTTCCTGATCTTAGAGGACAGGCCCTCAGGTGTTTCCCCCTTGAGAATGATATTTGCTGAGGGCTTTTCATAAATGGCTTTTAAGATATTGTGGAATGTTCCCTCTATCCCTATACTTTGCAGAGTTTTAATCAGGAATGGATGCTGTATTTTTTCAAATGCTTTCTCAGCACCTATTGAGAGGATCATATGGTTTTTATTTTTCTCTTGTTGATGTGATCTATCACGTTGATTGTTTTATGAGTGTTGAACCACCCTCGCAATCCCGGGGATACATCCCACTTGGTCATGTACTGTTGGATCTTCTTAATATACTTAATCTTCTTAATGTACTGTTGGATCCTGTTGGCTAGTATCTTGTTGAGAATTTTTGCATCCATGTTCATCAGTGATATTGGTCTGCTGTTCTCCTTTTTGGTGGGGTCTTTGTGTGGTTTTGAGATCAAGGTAATGCTGGCCCCTCATAAAATGAGTTTGGAAGTATTTCCTCCCTTTCTGTCCTTCAAAACAGCTTTAGTAGAATAGGTATTATTTCTTCTTTAAACGTTTGTAGAATTCCCCTGGGAAGCCATCTGGCCCTGGTGTTAAAGTGTATCTGGGGATCTTGATGCTTCACTGCCCCTCCTGCAATTCTGCCCGATTTCCCTGCTAAGCACTTTTCTGTCAGTGAAAACTCAGGCTTGGATTTTTAAAGTTCCCACTTGTCCAGTGCTGGGCTTTCGTGCCCTGAGGCTTTTGCCCAGGTAGTTGTGGTTCCCCTCCCCCACTTTATTTCTTTTTTATATTTATTTATTTATTTATTTATTTATTTATTTATTTATTTATTTATTTATTTATTTATTTTCACCTTCCTACCTTGTTAGAAGGGAAAATTTTTCTCTCCTTAGCATTCCAGCTGTTCTCTACCTCTCAGGTTGAATTTTTAGGTGTTCAGGATGTTTTGAAAGATATCTAGGTAAGTTTGTGGGACTAGATCAGTTGAGGACCCCTACTCCTCTGCCCTCTAGCCCGTTTCTAGTTGCAGTATTTTTTTTTTAATTTTTATTTATTTATGATAGTCACAGAGAGAGAGAGAGAGAGAGGTAAGAGACACAGGCAGAGGGAGAAGCAGGCTCCATGCACCGGCAGCCCGACGTGGGATTCGATCCCGGGTCTCCAGGATCACGCCCTGGGCCAAAGGCAGGCGCCAAACAGCTGCGCCACCCAGGGATCCCTAGTTGCATTATTTTTAAGTACTGTTGAATTGTGAGTTCTTTATATAGTTTAGATAATAGCTTATTGTTGGATATGTGATTTACAAATATTTTCTCTCAGTCAACAACTTGTCTTTTCAACTTCTTAGAGTGCTTCAAAGAGGAGTTAATTTTGATGAAGTCCAATTTATCACTTTTTTCCTTTTATGGATCTTAGTTTTGGTGTCAGGTCTCATAACTGTAGAATATGAAGATTTTATCCTGAGTTTTTTAGAAAAGTTTTACACTTTTGCATTTTACATTTAAGTCTATGATCCATTTTAAGTTAACTTTTGTATAACCTGTGAGGCTAAGGTTGAAGTTCTTCTTTCTTTGGCTGTCACCATTTGTTAAAAAGGCTGCTTTACACTAAATGGCTTTAAAAATAAGAGTTGGGTATACATTTTGGATCTCTGTTTTGTTTCATCAATCTGTGTGTCTTTTCTTCTGCCATTACCACACTGTCTTTACTGCTGTAGCTATATAATAGGTCTTCATATTAGTTAGAGGGATTTTCCCCACGTTATTATTTTTCAAGATTGTTCTTAGTAGGACCTGTGCCTTCCATATAGATTTTAGAGTAAGCTTGCCATTATCTTGTTTTCATGCTAAGACTTATCTTAGATTCTTAGTATCAATGCTTTTGGTATCAAAGCATTGCATCCAGTAGCAATATTTTTTGTCATTAGATAGAATGCAAATAAACTAAAATGTATAGCACATTACAATTCTTGAGTGTTTTAGAACTGGAGTGTTTTGTTAAATCTTTAGGAACCTCAGAACTGACATAAATCCTTTTTCCTTCAATAATTTTATTGTTCAAAACATTTTGTTAGGCCTTCTTGCATTGCTTATAAAGTAGTGAATAGAATTAAGTTCTTTTAATTGAAGATTTCACAGTGCCTTATTTTGTTCATTCTTTTATTTTACTTACAAATTTGGTAAACATTATTGTTCGGAGTGTATATTAATTTCAGGCCTTTCCTGGAAATTTATTTTTTATTTTTTTATTTTAAGATGAATCCTTTACAAATTCTTTGGGAAAACTTACTTCATGTTACTTTCTTTATTTCTGAGTTGTGGATTACAAAAATAATTCTAATAGAACGTCCCATTAACATTCTCACAAATGAGCAACACTCCACATATAGCTCCGGCTTATGAGAAGTTTGATGTGGTCATATTTCAAGGCTGCTTTGCAGAAAGCTTTATTTTACTTGCAACAATTTGAGAATAAAGATTCTGATTCTGTAGTTTACTTGTAATGTAAGCCAAATGACTTTAGGGTTCAAATTTTTATCTTTTTTTCCCCTAGTCTTAATCTTTTGGGTAGTAGAAAGAACATGAACATCATGAGGGCCAGAAAGACCTGGGTGTAAATCTCACCTGTTCCTCTTTATTTTTATTAAAATAAATTAATAAATGAATTTCGGAAGCCACAGTTTTCCACATCTGTAAAATGGATGATAAAATACCATTTTATAACAACACCTCAGGGGCTGGCTATATATTAGGATTATGAGAGATACCATGTGATGTGTAAATTCTCTGGTACAGAATTTAACTTTGTTGAATCATTGATCCACAGTAAATACTAGCTTCCTTTCCCTGAGATAAAATGAAATGGTTGTTGTCAGACAGTTTTGTGAGCTGTACATAAATAAAGATGTTATTAGCATTGCTTTTTCTTTTAGATTTGGGCATTAATAGCATAGTTTATAATCTCATATTATTAATATGCTTGCTCAGGCCCTTAAGTGATAGGCATATGCTAATAAGGTTTGGTGATCCTTAAAGGTTTGTGTCTGTTCTTGCTCCAGAAACTTTGAAAGCCATTAGAGAAATCCTGCAGTAAACTCACTTGATTATATGAAAGACTTGGCTATTTTTTAGTCTAATTCAAATTTTAGGACTAATCCTTAGTCTTAGTGCCTATGTATATGAAAACCAAATACATATTTTCACCTTCTTTTGATGCTATGCAGGCCCTCCCACTTTGCCTTACTCTCCTTTCCCCCAGTAAGAACTCTGAATCTCATGGGATTTTATGAGCATAACGCATACCCTGGCTTCTTCCTGTTTTAGTGTTTCTAATTGGATTGACTGTTATAATGACCTTATAAGTATATGTAACTACATGTCTAAATTAAGCTTTTGTACTGCGAGTTTAGAGGACCAAGGACATGAAATAATTGAACTCCCAAGAAACTTATGTCAGTCTAATTTAGAAAGATAGTGATGGTCTCTGAAAGTGTTTTTACCACTCAAGAATATTTAAATGTCATCTATCAAATTTTCATTAAACGTTTATGTGCATAGCACTTTATGGGAACTGAAGGGATATAAAGGAGTATGCTCCTGAGTTTCTTGCCCTGCAAGTTAGTTAGGTTTCAAAACATCTCAGATGTTGAAATGTCAGACATTTGAGGAACTTAAATACAAAACATTACTAATAATATGTGCTATGAAAGAGACTTTGTCCTATTTATTTCATATAAAGTATGGTGAATTTCGGTTTCCTCGCCTGAAATGTAGATATACAAATATACCTGGTGAGGTCATTGTGATGTTTAAGAGATTGGATATGTAAGACCCAGCTTTAGTGCATAAAATCCACGTATTCTTTCTGCAGTTTGGTCTGTTTTTAATTGAAAAAGTGATTGTAAAATGGTCTGTTTGAAAATAGTCCTGGCATATTGTAAAATGACATTTGTTAAAAAAAAATGCAGGCAGAAAAAAATGAAAAGTTTCCCCATTTGAGATCTTTGATTCTTCCCTGTGTACTTCTGTACCACGAGCACAGTTTTGAATATTTTCCAGTAATTATTCTGTGTACATACACAATTATACTTTTATAAATTCTGGGGATGTTGTACATGTTATATCTTGCTTTTTTCATTTAAAAATTTATTTTGAAAAAAAATTTATTTTGACAGCCTTTTTAAAGATTTTATTTATTTATTCATGAGAGACCCTCAGAGAGGCAGAGACATAGGCAGAGGGAGAAGCCGACTTCCCACGGGGAGCCCGAAGTGAGACTCAATCCCAGGACCCCGAGATCATGTCCTGAGCTAAAGGCAGATGCTCAACTACTGGGCTACCCAGGAGTCCCAGATTTTGACAGTCTTTACTATTAGTACATGTGGATATTTTATACATTGTTTTATTGTTCTTAATGATTGTTGGGTACTCTATTGTTTGAGTGTATAATAACATAACCTTTATCTTCCCCCAGCACTCATTTAATGTGTTTATTTAAAATATGTTAATTCACAACTTTCCTCTCCTTAAGGTCAACTCACCCTCCAGAAAGTCCATCCTCCCAAGAAGAAGGGACAGAAAGAAAGACCTCTTTGTAAGAAAGTCTTGGGTATCCCATGAACCAGACAGCAGAAAACCGATTGGGGTGCAGCAGGACTCCAGAGCCAGATATAAGGCTCAGAAAAGGGCACCAACTGGATGGTACAAGGAGAAGTCATAATGACAGCCATCAAAGAAATTTGGAGCCTGTTTTAGAGGCATCTGTTCTTTCTTCCCATCATAAAAAAGTAAGTTAAAGGGGAAGTATGGTAAGTAAAAAAATATGGGAATGTGATTGGAGGAGGATATTTAGGAATGCTGGAGAGAGGATGGGGTTTTGAAAAGGAATCTTGAGCACATTTGTAAGTTTTTGTTCAGGATAATTTGAAGTCTTAAAAATTTAAGTTAGCTAGGTATTATTTGATTTTATAGTTAATCCTTTTCTGCTGATAGTCAAATCATACTTAATCTGCTTTATCTTATTTGAGAAGAGAAGTGGGTTTTTGTAGTTCAACCATGTTTTAGTTATGACATTATATTTTTGGAGAAATTCTAACTCTGTGCTGGAACTACTTTTCCAAATATGGTTTATCTCCAGTGCATACCTTGAAAGTCATTAGAATTCTTGGAACAGAAGGCAGATACTAATCTTTCCTTTTACTCCCCAGAGAAAGGAGCAGCTTTTAAATTATTTAAGCAACTATACCTAGAGAGCAAAGGTATAAGTATCTGTGAACAGCATCAGAAAGTCATTGTTTTATGTATTTTGTTATGTGCTTTGTATCCTTGGAATTATGTAGCATGTGTCCACTGTTGTGGCTCTAGTACAGTGTTTCTCAAACTGTAGGTTGTGTCCATTAGTGGTTTGTGAAATTGATTTTGGTACAAGTAGTGTTTAAAAAATTAAACAGCAAGAGATTAAAGAGGGACATGTATGTAGTAATATACAATTAAACCATATTATTTGATGAAATTATTTAGTTTTATATAGGTAATATATAGATATGAATAATGTATGCATTTCTTAATGTGGGTTGTAGTTAAAACATTTTGAAAGCCTCTACTCCAAACTGCATCTTTACCATCTTAAGAGATAATGTTCATCATGTGGGTAATAGTGGTGTTGGTTTGAACTACAGAGGGTTGTCTTGTCCTTTCAGGTCTCTTACAAGAATTTCATCAAAGCATTGTAGCAATATAGGTACAATATAGGAAATTTAAGATATTTTTTCTATTCTTAAGGATACTTTATAAGCCATCTTTATCTTCTTGGCTAGATGGTGTTATAGTGAATGATTTACATGTATGCACGTGTGTATGCCCACACATACACAGGACAGATCAGTAAAAGTAAAAGCACTTATTTGCCTACAGTAAATATAATTTGGTCTTTAAACCAGCATTATTACAGTTTACAAGAAGTTTCACAGATATCTGGGGCAAGAACTTGGATCCACACTTAAGACCTTGCTTTCTTGCTGCCATTTTACAGTAATGTGTACTAGCAGCTAACTATGACTTATCTAAGCTGAGCAAGCTGTTTCCCTCATTTGCTACTAAGGCCTAAGTGGTGACTGGGGTGGTGTTTTGTTTTGTTTTTTTCTTCTTAATTACCGTAAGCACAATGTGAATTATTGATAACTATATGCTCATTAGATCTCTAGAACTTTTACAGCTTACATGACTGAAACTCCATAGCCATTGAATAGCACCTCTCATTTTCTCTGCCCCTGCTAGCCCTTGTCAGCCACCATTATGCTGCTTTTATGAGCCTGACTGCTTTAGATATTCCACATAAGTGGAATTCTGCAGTATCTCTCCTTCTATTACTGGCTTATTTCACTTAGCATAATACCCTCAAGTTTTGTACATGTTGTATATGACAATACTTCTTTTTTTAAGGCTAAGTACTATTCCTTTGTGGGTATATACTGCATTATCTTTATCCATTCATCCACTGATGGACATTTAGGTTGTTTGTACTTCTTGGCCGTTGTGAATAATGCCACCAATACTGTTTTCACTTTTTTTTTTTTTTTGTGTGTGTGTGTGTGTGTGTATACCCAGAAGTCGAATTACTGGGTCATTTGGCAGTTCTATTTTTAGTTAGTTTTTTTTTTTTTTTTTTTTTTTGGAACCTCCATACTCTTTTCCATAGGAGTTGCATTATTTTATATTCCCGTCAACAGTGCACAAGGGTTCTCATTTCTCCACATCTTTACCAATACTTACTATTTTCTTTTTTGGTAATGGGTGTTCTAACAGATGTGATGTGGTACTCCATTGTAGTTGCTTTGCATTTCTTTGATGATTAGTGATATTGAGCATCCTTTCATATATTTGTAGGTCTTTGGAGAAATGTCTGTTCACATCTTTTGCCCATTTTAAAATCCATTTATAAACCAATTGAGTTTTTTTCCCAGTTGAGTTTTAGGAGATCCTTTTATATTTTGGATATTAACTCCTTATCAGATATATGGTTTGCAAATAATTTCTCCTATTCCATAGGTTTTTAATTTTGTTGATGGTTTTCTTTGCTGTGCAGGAGCTTTTTAGGTGACGTAGTTCCACTTGTCTAATTGTGCTTTTGGTGTCATATCCAAGAAGTCATTACCAAAACCAATGTTATAAAACTTAACTTTTGGGGCTCCCTGGGTGGCTTAGTGGTTTAGTGCCTATCTTTGGGCCAGGGTGTCATCCTGGAGTCCTGGGATCGAGTCCCACATCGGGCTCCCTGCATGGAGCCTGCTTCTCCCTCTGCCTGTGTGTCTCTGCCCCTCTCTCTCTCTGTGCCTCTCATGAATAAATAAAAAAAAAAAATCTTAAAAAAAAAACAAAAAAAACCCTTTTTCTCTGTATTTTCTTCTAGGAGATATATAGTTTTAGGTTCTACATTTAGGTTTTTCTTGAGTTAAGTCATTATGAATTGATATTTGTGTATTATATAAGGGTTCAGTTTTACTCTTTTGCATGTAGGTATCTAGTTTTCCAGTACCATTTATTGAAGAGACTGTATAGTCTGTTTCTTATTATATAGTCCTGCTGTTCTTGCTGAAGATCATTTGAGTATATATGCGGGAGCTTATGTCTGGGTTCTTGATTCTGTTCCATTGGTCTATAGGTCTGTCTTTCTGTCAGTACCATACTGTTTTGATTACTGTACTTTTGTAATATATTTTGAAGGAAGTAGGATATTTCCAGCTTTATTCTTTCTCAAGACTCTTTTGACTAGGAGTGCCTGGATGGCTCAGTCAGTTAGGTATCTACCTTTGGCTCAGGTTATGATCTCAGGGTCCTAGAGATCAAGCCCCATGTTGGACTTCCTGCTCAGTGGGGAGTCTGCTTCTCCTTCACCCCCATTCTTCCCCCATTTGCTCTTTGTCAAATAAATAAAATCTTAAAAAAATAAAAAAGACTATTTCGACTATTAGAAGCCCTTTGTCATTCCATATGAACTTGAGGATTTTTTTTTTAAATGATTGGGATTATCTTAAAATGGTGATGTAATAAACAGAATTGGAAGAGGATTGACCAAGTTATTGAACACAGAGTTAGAAGATCTATCATTTAGCCTTGTAAAATAGACAAGTTACTTACCCCGGATTTATATTTGTCATGTGTAGTGGGACAATAGATGATATTGGTGTTCCTTTCCAGTGATGATAGAGTTCTACATTATTACCAATAAAATTTTTGGTAGTAAGAAATGTTCTTAAGGGCTTCCAGAATGTACACATTGAATTATTCTTTTCTTTTTAGGATTTTGTTTTTAAGTAAAAACAAAATATACCCAATGTGGGGCTTGAATTTACAACCCCCAAATCAAGAGTTGCATGCTCTATTGACTGAGCCAGCCAGGCAACCCACATTGAACTGTTCTGAAACACACTCATATTAAATAGCTGATAGTGATAATTAGTACCTCTAGCAGTTTCTAGAAGTGATTGTGTAACTGAATGCTTAGTAAAGACTGATTGAAAGTGCAGGAAGAGGAAAGGAGGAAGTGTGTACAGGGCATTTCAAGTAATAGGAGTAGTGTGTGCAAGGTCCTAAATCTGAAAAGCACTTGACATATTTAAGAAGTGTGGTCAGTGGATAGGTGGAAGAAATGAGGGGAAAAAAGTTAAGTACTTTTGTAGACCATGATATGGGTAAAGTACAGTGAAAGTTATTGCAAAGTTTTAAGGAAGGGAGTGATAAGATTTTATTTACAGTCTAGAAAGATCACCCTGGGCTCTTAATGTGAAGATAGCAGAGTTTGGGGGCTGTTGGTGGGGAAAGAAACTTGGAGATGAGTCAGAAGGATGCTATAGAAATTCATGAGAGTAGCTTATTCTGGGTTGATGGTGATAGTTGAGTTGGCAAGGAGCAGATACATTTGAGCTGTGCTTTGGAGGTAGAGTTGACAGAATTTGCTGGTATGTTGGATATGATGGGTTAAGGGAGAAGGGAAGGAAATGACAAGAATGAGTGAGGTATGACATGAATACTTGGATTGCTGGGGTATGATTCTGTTTTCTGAGATGGGAAAAACTAGAGGATAAAGTATGGAGGTGAAATAGGTTTAGGTGGGAGGATCAAGAGCTTGCTTTTGGTTGTGTTAAATATGAAATGAACATGAGACATCTTAGTGGATGCATCTAGAAGATAGTTGGGTAGGAGTGTGGCCTTCCTAAGAGTGGCCAGGGCTGGAAGTAATCTTTTAGGAAGTAGTTGCAATGTAGATGATACTTAAAACTTTTGAAATAGTTAAGGTTACTTAAGAGGGAGAGGGAAAAGAGAAGGGCCTAAGGATCCAGCCATTTAGCCTGAAGAACACCAGCATTCATGGGGTATTTCAATAAGAGGGGAAAGTAGAAGAAGCTAGGAAAGAGACTCTTAAAAGGTAGGAGGAAAACTCAGGAATTGTAATATCACAAAAACCAAGAAAGTCAAGGAAGAGAGGAAGCAGTGATTTGATTTGTTTCTATACTGCTAAAGAGATCATGGACAAAAGGGATAGACTAGTGACCACTGGTTCTGACAACGTGGTGTTTATAGGTGAACTTTTTTTTAAAAATTTTTTTTTAATTTATTTATTTATGATAGTCACAGAGAGAGAGAGAGAGAGGCAGAGACACAGGCAGAGGGAGAAGCAGGCTCCATGCACCGGGAGCCTGATGTGGGATTTGATCCCGGGTCTCCAGGATTGCGCCCTGAGCCCAAGGCAGGCGCCAAACCGCTGCGCCACCCAGGGATCCCTATAGGT